GAACATCCCTCTCTGGGATCCTGTTCAATACATAAATGTACTAGTGCAACTAATTGGCCAAGACAAACCGTACGGTTGACACTACAACCGTTCCGATGGGTTGTTCAATTTCATCTAGGTTGTGAACCAATGATTCTTGTTTCGCAAGTAACTGATATAGTGATCTTCGGTACGCCCGATGATGACCCACTTATCTACATGCAAAACAACAGAACGTGGAACTTATTTAACCAAACATAATTCTCATTCATCAAGGAATAACAAGTGTAATATCTACTAAAGCAAAGCTTAAGTATATAACACCAACATCAGCATCATATCGATCTTGTACCGGGAGCTTCCCTACCTAATCGTCCTCATTACAGGATGAGCCCGGCTGAGCATGAGGAGTTGCGCCGCCAAGTCGAGGAGCTTATTCAGCGTGGGGTCGTACGTCGCAGTTTGAGTCCTTGTGCAGTTCCAGCCCTCTTGATACCAAAGAAAGACGATTCTTGGCGCATGTGTGTAGACAGTCGAGCAATTAACAAGATAACAGTCCGTTATCGGTTTCCTATTCCTCAGTTGGACGATTTGCTGGATCAGCTTCATGGTGCCACTATTTTCACCAAACTGGATTTACGAAGTGGCTATCATCAGATTCGGATTCGCCCAGGGGACAAATGGAAGATGGTATTCAAAATCCGAGAGGGTCTATTTGAGTGGATGGTGATGCCATTCGGGTTGTCTAATGCTCCTAGTACGTTCATGAGAGTGATGAATCAGGCGCTACGGGATTTTATCGAGCGCAGTGTTGTCGTTTACTTTGGCGATATTCTCATATACAGCTGTTCCTTGGAGGAGCATCTCCAACATGTTCGAGAGGTATTACTTGTTTTACGTACCGAGTCCTTTTTTGCTGCACCTCATAAATGCATATTCTTGGCCTCTTCTGTGTTGTTTTTGGGATTTGTGATTTCGGCAGAGGGCATTCGTGTTGACGACAGCAAAGTGGCTGCGATTCGTGATTGGCCAAATTCGACTTCCTTTACTGAGGCCCGTAGCTTTCACGGCCTTGCCTCTTTCTATCGGCGCTTCATTTCTCACTTTAGCACTATCACGGCCCCGATCACTGATTGTCTCCATGGGGCGTCTTTTGTTTGGACACCGGCAGCTGCCGAGGCTTTCGCATTGATTAAACAAAAGTTGACCTCGGCTCCGGTCCTCGTACTCCCTGATTTTGCGCGACCGTTTGAGCTGTCTTGTGATGCGTCCAAGGTAGGCATCGGCGCAGTACTTAGTCAGGAGGGTCGCCCTGTCTCTTTCTTCAGTCAGAAGTTGTCTGGACCTCGGACTCGTTATAACACATACGATGTTGAGTTTTATGCCATCGTTAAGGCAGTTCGTCATTGGCGACATTACTTGTTTCATCGGGAATTTATTCTCTTCACAGATCATGAGGCGTTGCGACACTTGGCCTCTCAGGATAATATTTCTTCCCGCCATGCCTCGTGGATTGCTTTTCAACAGCAGTTCACATTTGTTCTACGACATCGGTCGGGCGCCTCTAACAGAGTGGCGGACGCGCTTAGTCGGCGCACCATGTTGCTATCGGATATGCGCATTTCGGTGGTGGGGTTTGATGTTTTGTGCGATACCTATGTTGATGATGTGTTTTTTGGCCCAGATCTACGTCGCCTAGCCAGTGGACCTTTTGAGGATTATTAGTTGACTGATGGATTTTTGTTCTGGGGCATTCGACTCTGTATTCCGGACTGTAGTCTCCGCCACAAGCTCATTGCGGAGATCCATGGAGGGGGTCATGTGGGCCGAGATCGATCGGTGGAGCTCGTCAGTCGTTCTTATTTCTGGCCCTCTCTTCGTCGTGATGTGTCCCGGTTTGTCACATGTTGCCACGTTTGTCATGTTTCCAAGGGAGTTGCATCGAATGTCGGTTTATACTGGCCGCTACCTATTCCTTCCCAGCCATGGAGCGCCATTGGTATGGATTTTGTTCTTGGCTTACCGCGTACTCAGCGGGGTTTCGACTCTATTTTTGTGGTCGTTGATCGCTTCTCCAAGATGGTCCACTTTGTTCCATGCAAGCGCACAACTGATGCGGTTCACGTGGCTCAGTTATTCTTCCGGGAGATATATCGTTTACATGGACTTCCTTCGTCCATTGTTTCCGATCGCGATACTCGTTTCCTGAGCTACTTTTGGCGCAGCCTCTGCCGTATGGCGAATACTCAGCTAGACTTCAGCAGTGCTTATCATCCTCAGACAGATGGTCAGACTGAGGTGATCAATCGATCCTTGGGTAACTTATTGCGTTGTTTGGTGGGTGATAACTTGCGGAGTTGGGATCAGCGTTTAAGCCAGACTGAGTTTGCCCACAACTCGGCACTTAGTCGTGCCACCAGGTTATCCCCTTTTGAGACAGTATATGGATTTTGTCCCCGCGGCCCATCGGACTTGGTGGCTTTACCCTCTTCTTCATCGGCGCCGGATCGCCGCGCCGCCGACTTCATTGCGGAGTTACAGGCTATTCACGCGAAGACTAGAGCTCGCCTCGAGGCTACCACGGCGGCTTACAAGAAACAAGCGGATGCTAAGAGGCGACATGTGGAGTTTGAGGTGGGGATTTTGTCTGGGCTGTTCTGACGAAGGATAGGTTTACGGCTCACGAGTACAATAAGTTGTCGGCCAGGAAGATCGGTCCTGTCGAGGTGGTTGAGAAGATCAACCCCAATGCATATCGTTTACGGCTTCCTTCGCATATTCGCACTTCTGACATTTTTAACGTCAAGCACTTGGTGCCTTTTTCGGGAGACAATTCGGACGGAGACGAGACCGGTTCGGATTCGCGGCCGAATCCTTCTCAACCGGGGGAGGATGATGGAGACGAGACCGCACTAGCTTATTTGAAGAAATTTGACCGGCTTCGTATTTAGCATTATTCCTTTTATTGTTTTACTTGATTTATGCATTTCCTTATTTATTAATTATGTAGTAGGAAATAAAATATCTTGCGACTTGTTAGGCAAGATAAGTATTCCTTTGCTTATTTATATGTGAAATAACAGTAGGAAAGACCATTGACGTTTGAGAATAAAATTTATCTGTTCCTTTTCTTTGAGAGAGCATCTCAATTTTACTATTCTTCTTGAGAGAGTATCTCGAGAGGGCCCTTTTCGTATCACGTTCTACATCAAAATGCTAACATAATAAAACGAATTCAATTGCAAAAGGCAATAGATCTGGAATATTAAAAAATAAATAAAGATATAACACAACAGTATAAAATTAGGTAGATGAGCGACAAGTAAATCTAATTCATCTGTGAATAACAAAGAATATTCGAAATCCAAGGGTTGTTAGGAAATATTTTTCTACAACTAATAGTGGTGTTTTATTCCGTAACCATTCGATTTGGGAAAAGGTTACCTGAACGGAGTGCTCATCAGAGAAGCGAAATTAGGGGATGCGAAGTTCTGGCCGGTGGAATCGAAAACATAAGCGACGGCGATGATGCTCAGATGATGATGAATGAAGAGCGATGGATGAACAAAAAATCTACCGATAAAACAAAAAAAAAATAAATTAAGATGAACATTTAGATAATGAATTGTAATAATAAAATTCATAAAGGATTGATATATAAATTAGATAAAGTCAAGGCTTTCAAAATAAATAGAAACATCAATTTATAATTTATTTATGTTTTAAATAATAGTAAGAGTAAAATAGGTTTTTCGCTTGTACAATAGTACAAACGCATATATAAAGTATAAATCTTCCGTTTTTTTTTATTGTACATGGTTTGCACGTGAAATTAATGATTGATATTAAATCTTGAGTCAATCTAATCTATATATATATATATAATTGCTAGCATATAGCATTTAATAAAACCTATTTAATAAAACCTCTAAAATTTTCCCTCCATTTTCGGTTACAAAATTTATCATTAATATATTTTTACTTCTCACATTAATACATCCTATTAAGTGTAATCATGTATTTTTTCTATTATATTATATAATAGTTATTGTTAATACCAACTAATAATAATTCACAATAAATATAACTTACATAATTATAAACAATTGTTTCAAGTTATTTATATTAACATCAATATTATTTTTTTTGTATCTCATGAAAAAAATTCTTTAAAAATAATTAGTAAATTGTTTTAATAG